GCCCAGGGCCTAACCAATTCTGGGGCCCTGGGATTTCTGCATTTGCAGAGTTCCGATACTCAGTGCACTCCAACCAACTGGCGTGCGGCAGCTGTATGGACCCCACTTCGTGAAATGTTTGAACAAAGGGATCTTGTTGATTTCCTAGCCCGCCTTCACTTACGGCGGGCACGAGGCTTGCTGGGGGCCTTGGCCCAGAACACGTATATCACGGCAAGGCCCCTTTTTTGAGGGCTCAACCCTCACATTCCATCCCCCTTAGCTTTGAAAGTCCGCTAAGATGCTTACTTCGCAGGTGCCTTCCCTTTTAACATCCTCTCATATTCTGCCACCACTTGAGGAGCTGTGTCAATCAGTTCCCCTCTGGTAAACCACCGATCTTCTTTTGGATCCGTATGATGCCTGAATCTGAGGCAATATTCTCTCTTGGGTTTGGGAGGTCTTCCTCTACCCAGTGGCTTTGGAACAGGCAGGTCTCTGTGATCCACAATGTCGTCGATGTCCACTTGGCCATCCATGGTTGGGGGCAGCATCGATCTCCTTGAAGGGAATTGGTCTGTCTCAGCGAAAGGTGCAAGCTTTGAGGCATGAAAGATAGGGTGAGTGCCCAAAGATGCGGATAACATAGGTAGGACCATCCATCTCATCCCCAACTATATCCAAGACTTCCAGGGACCAAAAACTGAGGCATTAGTTTACGAGAGATTCCGAATAACTGTCCTAGGTCACTAGCCTCGACCCAGACACATTCCCCTACCTGAAATGAGAATTGTCGACGATGTTTGTTCTTAGAAGCAATCATTGTTTGCTGACCTTTCTTGATGTGCTCGACAGCTTGCTGCAGCAACTTCTCATACTTCACACCATACTCAAGTGTGCCTGGAGTTGCAGAGGGTCCGTTTTCAAGTAGGAGGAAGTCCAGAGCTGATCTAGGCTTCCATCCCAAGTGCAGTTGATTAGGACTAACGTCGGTACTGCTGTGTACAACGTTGTTGTACAGGCTGGCGATGAGAGGCAACTTCTCATCCCACTCATCCTGACTGGGCTTGATGTAATGCCTCAGCAGGTGTTGTACAACTCTGTTCATTTGCTCGGCCTGTCCGTTGGCTTCGGGATAATTCCCTGAAGTCATCTGAAGTTGACTGCCCATCTGTTCAACAGTCTTCTTCCACAACTCACTTGTGAAGCGGACATCTCTGTCACTAACGATTGACTTCGGTAGTCCAAAATCACGCTCCAGTTGTCCAGAAACAACTTGATGACGTGTTAAGTCCTTGCGGTCTCTGACATGGCAATTAGTCTAGCATACTTGGTGAATCTATCTATGATGACAAAGATGTGCCTCTTGCCACTCCTACTGGTCACCAGGGTGTCCATGAAGTCAATGGAAACACTCTGTCCCGGACCAGCGGGGATAGGTAAAGGCTTCAGCAACCCAAGCGGTGCTCGAGTTCGCGGCTTATCCCGCTGACAGACCTGACAGGTCTCAACATACTTCTTTGCATCTTCTAGCATTCCGAACCACCAAAATCGCTGGACTAAAATGGCACTCGTCTTTTTGTAGCCAAAGTGGCCGGTTGCGTCATGACTTTCTCCTAAGAATAAACTACGCAAACGTTCACTAGATGGAACAACTAACCTTTTAAATCCGGCCTTATCAAGAGAGAGAAGCCCGTCCACCATCACAAACTCATCTTCTGTGGCCTTGTCTTTTGCCTGAAGCTTGCGTATGATGTCCATCGTGACAGGGTCTTCCTGATAGGCTCCCACCAGCGATTGAGTTAGTTCCTCAAATACACCAAACTCAAAAACTCGCGCCCCTAGGTAATCTGCTCTCCGGGACAACGCATCTGCAACCTTGTTGTACTCTCCCTTCAGATACTCTAGCTTGAAGTCATATTGATCTATGACCTCAATCCAGCGCTCAAGTGCATCAAAAAGAGCCGGTTGAGTCTTGATCCATTTGAGGATCTGATGGTTGGTTCTCAAGTAGAAAAACCGTCCCAACAGAAAGTACCTCCAATGGACAAATGCTTTGTAGAGAGCATAGAGTTCCCTTTCATAGGTGGACTTTGCCAGTTTCTTAGATGGCATCTTTTTGCTCATAAACTCATAGTCTCAACTTTTTCCCATCCTGTTGAGCCAGCATTGCGCCAATGTCGTATTGGCTTGCGTCAGTGGTCACTATGAATGGCTTCTGAGGATCGGGCACCATAAGAACTTCATGATTCATGAGTGCATGCTTCAATCATTTGAAAGCAGCCTCGCACTCATCACTCAAGTCCCACGGTGTGTCAAGTCGAGTTAGATCAGTCAAAGGAGAGGCGACTGTGGAATAGTTCTTTACGAAGTTTCAATAGTAGCCGCACATTCCTAAGAAAGATCTGACCTCAATAACAGTTTGAGGTCGTGGCCAGTCCCTTATACTAGCCACCTTCGCATCTTCCGGCCTAATACCTTCCGCGGATACTCCATGACCCAAGTATAAGATCTTAGTGCGTCCAAACTCACATTCTCTAGGTTGACCTTACACTTGTGTTGTCGCAGGAGTGAAAGTACCGTCTCAACGTGCTGTGCATGCTCCTCGACAGACTTACTAAAGATAAGAATATCGTCAAGATAGACAACGACAAAATTATCTAACTGGTCATGGAAGATCCTATTCATAGCATGCTCGTATGTACCCGGCGCATTGCAAAGGCCAAAGGGCATCACTACAAACTCATACAGACCGTATCTGGTCTGAAAAGCAGTCTTGTTGCGATCTGATGATAACCGGACTCTATCTTGCTATAGTATTTACATCCCTGCACCCTATCCAATACGTCGTCTATGCGAGGTAGAGGCTCAACGTTTTTCACTGTGATGGCATTGAGGCCTCTGTAATCGATGCACATCTTCAATGTACCCCCCTTCTTCGGTACAAATAGCACGGGTGATCCAAAGGGGGAAGTACTCGGCCGGATCCATCCCTTTTCTGTCAGCTCTTTCAGTTATCGCCCAAGTTCATCCAACTCGGTCGGAGCCATCCTATAGATCCTTCCCTTTGGGTTTTTACTCCCTGGAATGATTTCTATGGCATGGACAACCTCCCTATCGACGACTCCTGTGGGCTTTGTGAACAGATCAGGAAACTTAGCAACGACGTGTTCTATCTCTGGGGGTCTTTTAACGGCCGCCCCTTTTTCAGAGACATGCACTAGGTACATACCCTCCTCTTGGTTCTGTTTATAATAATTATAGAATGTTGATGCACACAAGCAGCCATAGGTATCGATTATACTACTGACTTTAAACTTAGTCAGCCTCATTGTTCTTCCATCAGGCAACTTATGCTTTAGCACTTTCTTGTCCTAGTCAAACAGGGGCTTGGCAACCTCAAGGTAGTACATTCCTAACAACATGCCAAATGGTAGGTCGTCGCTAATCAGGAACGAAATTTTGTCATCAAGTTCCCCTCCTCCATAGGAGAAGGTACAGACTACATCCTTGATATAGTTTGTGACAACCATGCGCTCCTTATTGGCCAAAGTAGATGCTACTGGTCTACTAAGATGTTGTACCCGGTTCTGTAGGTGTAGCCTATCCAAGCAGATGCGACTTATGTAGTTCCGCGTGGAGCCGATGTCTGTGAAGGCACCACATTTGCGGCCTCCTACATCGACTTCCACAACGAAATGTTCCCCTCTAGGACCTCTTCTTAGTGCCACCGAAGATTCACGAGGGTCCTTACTTGACCACTCACTTTCCAAATCTTCTAAGGCTTCAGACACATCCAACGTACAGAGCATAGTTTGGTCTGGATGAGTCTGCAGCGTGACTAAAGAGTCATTAGCTATGGCCTGCTCATGAAGTGGGGAGGGTATCTGACCCACTTCACCTTGAGTAGCAGCTAAAACTTCCACCGGCCTCACGTGTTTCCCGAGCTAGAAGCCTGGGAAGAAGGTACCCCTACCTTAGGAGGTATCTTCTGCGTGAACTTTGCGTTCTTGCACTTGTACTGGGTGTGTCCGTATTCACCACAGTTGATGCAAGCACCACGCACTCTATGGTCCCGCCACACTTCTTGATCAAGACCTACCTTGACCCAATCAGCAACTTTGGTCAGGTTGGAGGCGGCCTACCCTTGACTCTTTTGATGGCCCTTCCCTTGGCCACCTGCCTTAGTTTTTACTACTACGGCGAGGGTGCTACCCTCAGCGATCTCCTCGCCGTCGTACTTTGAACTGTCCAACAGGTCTGTGAGCTCTTCCATCTCAGTTTGAGTCCCATCGGACTCAACCATCATTAATTTACTCCCCTTCTTCTTCCATTCCTGTGGACCCTTCTTCTTCCTCGCGTCTGTTGGAGTAGGCTGAGCGCTTCCTAGAGTAGTCTAAGTCTTTTCTAGATAATGTCTCAAACGAATGATAATCGAGGCGAGCCTCGCTGGCCAACAAATTTATGAGATTCTCTGGGAGACATCTCACAAACATGGTCAATAAGACCTGGTCATCGTAGCGTATGGCGGGAACGACGATGAGGCTCTCGACGGTAGTCGTTAGCTCTCTGACTGACTTGAACTTTCGCTGGTCTAGTCTGAGCATCGCATCAGTGGCAATCTATGCTTGCTGTGGATTATGCCAGCGAGCTTCTACTATGTCTAAGAACTCTTCTAACGTTAGGGTCTTAGCCAGTCCGCCATGCGTCTTCCGTACCCTGCCTTTGCCACTAATCCATCCATCCATTTGGCTGCCTTACCCTCAAGGTAAGATGCAGCAGTAATCACCTCCTCTCCTGCATAGTCCTCTTTTGCCCTTACCCACACTGGAACCGTTCTCAACCATGTGTTGAGTTCCTCGTCCTTCTTCTCTCCGGAGAAGGCAAGGGGCGGTTTCATAGGGTTCTTTGGGTACCATTGACCTTGCTGCTGCGGTGATGGTGTAGCTACCACCGCTGACCCACAAGAAGAAGAAGCAACAGTCTGTGCGGCTGCTGCAGACGTACCACTTGGTTGTGTGCCAGCTTGTACCGGAAAGGGGCCTGACATCGCCGTCAACGGCAACGGCGACTGCGCAGCTGGCCTAAATCCTGGCCTTTGCAAAAGGTCCAAGATCTGGTCCAAAGAGTTATGCATGAAGTCCAATCTGCTGTCCACATGCGCATGAAGCGACAATACACTTTTCTTCAATATTTTCATTTGGTCAGACATGCCGGCCTCATCCAAACCCTCTAATGCAACTTTGTCTGCCTCTAACGTATCAAGCCTGGCTATTCTATTTTTAATCTCTTTTTCTCTGTCGGTCGCTTGCTTCAGTTCCCTCTCTAACCGCTCGCGGATCCTTTCGACCTGTTGGAGCTCTAGGAGCTTCCCTACCGCGTGGGGTCAACGGACTTAATTGCGAGCCCGCCATTTGCCTTGTGGACTGACTAGAACCTACTGACCCGGAGGTACCCGCGGGCCCAAATGGCATTCCCAATTGGGTCCCAGAGGAGGACGCAGCAGAGGCTGCGCCATTAGCCATTGTTGCTGCTCTGGCTGCTGCTGCCTGTTCTATGGCTGCTGCGTTTGCTGCTGCTCTTGCTGCTGCGAGAGCACGGGCTCTATTTTCGGAAGAAACCGTCTTTCGTCTCCCGGTTGTAAGGTCTGAAACAGGTGCGGGACCCTAAGTGATCTCGAACGTGTCAGTCTCACATTGTCAACTCTACCCTCATCGGTGTCTGACCCACTCATCAGTTAGGCAAACACTATCTGCACTACAACCCCCTGCTGGAGTCCTACCACATCATGTGTCTGACCGGCACCTAATTTTCTAAAAATAATTGTGTCCGGCAGGTCCCCTAATTGACCGATCAAGTGGCAGCCTACAACATTCACAAAAGACTATCAACATAGTTTAGTTCTATCATGATTAGTTCACTTACAGAAGCTTTGCACAGAACTGGCTATGGTAGCATACAACAGTCCTATACTAAACTATCTGTGAGGTGTTAGCAGTCTGTCAACCAACTAATCAACAATAAAACTAAAATATGTTGCAGATGTATGAACAGTGGATATAGTTGTGTTTTCAGTTGAGCACCAATTAGAACCTACCCTCCCCTCAATCCAACATACCGAAGAGCATCTTTGAGCAGCAATGTCTTCGTGTGTAATGTCGGCCCACCCCTGTGCCCCAAGTCGTTGCCGAGCAAGCCAGCCCATCCACTCTTATTTACCTTCATACGGAACGAGCCTTACTACCCGGTTTGATCTGGCTAATCAGGAGGGATTTAAGGAGAGCCCCCATCTCCTTAGGAATTATTTAACGTTGCAGACAGGACGACGATCACAACCAGCATCAACCAAGTCCCCAGCCAGAAGTATTTATAGACGGTCTGGTAAGCGTCTCTTATGGGCTGGCACACCCAGCACGACTTCTATAGCGCAGCAAAGTGCCAAAATGGACAAGCAGCCATCGCATACATTACCTACTCCCATTGGGTTGGCATGGTGACCATGAGTGCTTTGACCAGGGCCCTTCAGAGGCACCGCCCTTTCTCCTTCCAGATGCTTTCGGGAAGATTGTCGTCTCTCAAGGTAGCGCGCACACGACACCTCACCGAAAGAGAGGACTCTCAACTTGGACTCACTTCCTCACGGTAAGAAGAGATTGAGAGGGTAGATAAGGTAAGGGAACAACGTACCTGGAGATAGCTGCCCCAAACCACAGATTTCTCACCAATTGAGCTGAGTGTGCATTTGATGATCGGTCGTAGCCTCGGTACCACCCACAACGCAATGCAGTGCCACCTCAGCTAAATGCCACATCAGCATGCTCTAATCACCAATCATACATTCCACTGTAACCATGACTTTCCATGCCGTACAGCCTTCCGGCACACACCTCTCTACCCAGGCCGTGCGCCTATTATTGGCCTGACGTCACAAGAACCAACTGCGAAGAAGCATCGTCAGCGCACCAAGTCTGTATAACGCCAACGCACCAAGGTAAGTGGCGAATCGAACCAGCTCCGATACCAAAATGCAAGGAACATGAATGTGGTCGAAGCACAAAAATCCAGATTGCAAAATCACATTGAAGTCCAAGTAGTCAAAGCAAGAGCAGATAGCACAATGGAATCGAGTAACCATCCATTTGAGAACGATACAGAAGAATCGTGAGTCAATGTCCAAGCCCAATCGGGCAACACCAACAACATATCCCAATGTAGCTTTCTCTCTTGAATGGCGCCAGGCGCCCTACCTACTCTACAGCCTATCACTACAACTACAGCATGGAAGCAACCAGACAACTTGACGACCAGCGAGTGATGATGTCAACACCAATGTCGACCTCCTCTCCACCAGGTAAGTCTCTCTCTTCACCCTCACTCTCCGTTGTTATCCCACACAGCGCCCTTCACCTCCAAAGAACCACCTTTGCCCTTCACCTCTTCTGCGCCCACAGGCAGCCCGGCTATGGCCGCCAGCGCCCTGCGACCAGGCTGTGCTCTACCGCTTAGCGCCAGCCTGCCCTCACTCAGCCTAGCGCAGCGCAGGCACACTCGCAATGCAGCAGCGTGCCGCCCTTGCTCGCAATGGCCAAGATCCCTGCCCACTCGCCCTCCCTGCCTATATGCCAGTGTTGCGTGTGGGCGCCTCCCTTGACCCTGCGCCTGGGCCCCAGTACCTGTACCCAGGCCCAATGCGGTTGGGGCCCAGGAGATGCAGTTGCGCCTCTTTCATCAAGGCCTGCGGCCAGATTCAGATAGTGGACCGGTTTCCCATTGGCATTTTCCGCCTCTATATCCAGCATGCATTGTCAGCCTCACATTTATGCGCCCAGGGCCTAACCAATTCTGGGGCCCTGGGATTTCTGCATTTGCAGAGTTCCGATACTCRGTGCACTCCAACCAACTGGCGTGCGGCAACTGTATGGACCCCACTTCGTGAAATGTTTGAACAAAGGGCTCTTGTTGATTTGCTGGCCCGCCTTCACTTAGAGCGGGCACGAGGCTTGCTGGGGGCCTTAGCCCAGAACAAGTATATCACGGCAAGGCCCCTTTTTTGAGGGCTCAATCGTCACAATATTATGTTATGCTATGTAATTGGATGACAAGCTAATGTTATGTTATGTTATGTTATGTTATGTTATGTAATGTAATGTTATGCAATGTAATGTTATGCAATGTCATGTAATATTATGTTATGTAATGTTATGTAATGTCATGTAATATTATGTTATGTAATGTTATGTAGTGTTATTTAATGTTATGTAATGTTATGTTATGTTAATATTATGTATGTAATGTTATGTTATGTTATGTTATGTTATTATGTTATGTTATTCAATGTAATGTAATGTAATGTCATGTTGTGTTATGCTATGTTAACATGTTATGTTATGTTATGTTATGTTATGTTATGTTGTGTTATGTTATGTTATGCTATGTTGTGCTATGTTTTGTCGTACAATCTTATGTGGTATTATATGTTGCGTGATGTTGTGTTACCTTATGTTATGTGGTGTTATTATGTTCTCATTGTCATGTTAATGTTATATATTATGCCAGTCATGTTATGCTATGTTATGTAATTTGATGTCATGTGATGTCATGTCATGTCGTGCTTTGACCCTCTCTTTGTGCAGACAAATGTAGAGTCGATGCACCCCCACAGGCAAGGTGGATGGTTGAGAGACGTCTGACAGGCAGCAACTGAACATCACCACCTAAATGCTGGTACCTAACTCGCAGTTACTAAAGCTAAACAGTAGTGATCAATTAGCACTGACTGAACTGAACAGCACCGTTTGCATAAACAAAGAGGAGCATTACCACAGCAGCCAAATCTGTCATTCACATTGATTCTCTCCTTCTTGATACTCCAAGAGAAAACACCCACATGTTCCATTAGAGACACCTTTCCCCATCTAGCTTGTCCTTCCACTCCGTGGAAAGCATCCACACCATTCTCAACACCGACCAGCATAAACTAGGCTCCAATTCACCAACATACCCTTCCTTCAGCGCCCTGGGACACATTAACGTCTCCATCATCATTCCTTGCTCAGGCACAAAGTGCCACACAGTCATCATGGGTGATGTATCAGAAATCCGCAAGGGTTAGGTTACTCGTACTACCCTGAGTTGATGGGGATCAACAGGTCTCAAACCGAAAATAGCCAGACTCCATGGAAAATAATTCTGATGTCCCCACCAGGCACAGCACCGCCCTTATCAGTGAGAATTCAATGGACAGTTTTCATGCACCTCTGCTCAGGACTCCTTTTGCCAAATTTGTAACCACCAGTCTTACACAATGGAGACATCTGTCTGAACTTAATGGATATATAACGTAGATCTTGATTGGCAGTCTACTAGGGTTCACTGTTTTAAAGCATTGTGAACATTGGAAATTTGAGGTAGGCAGCCCCACCGGTTTGGAGAGTTCAATGTGGCATGCAACTCGCCCTACTAAACTGACCCTACAACAATCCATACCCTGGTTTGGAGACTTCAATTGCAGTCAGATGCATTCTGGAAAGTGCTAGTGTGAGTATACCCCAAGTACTGTCAGTTCCATGATGATGACCTTGTCCTCCATGCCATAGTGTACTTTTATGAGGCCGTGGCCAGATTCAGAGGCTCCTTTTATCTAAAAGACAAACCAAAAAAAGGGGGAAAAAAAAATGATTTCTTGTGCTTTCCTCCCACCTATCATGGCGTGAGGGCGCCTGACATCACTGAGGGGAAGTTTTGACCCCGTAAGTGGCAGGCTTAGGGCACGGCCCACACCAGTGATTTCCTTTTCCATCATTCCATACAGACGAATGTGACCGCAATCACATACAGATGAAACTCTTCCCTTCCCCTTCCCCCCCCCCCCCTTTCAGTATTATCGTACAACAATCCATACCCTGCTGTACTCATCCCCCTCCCTCGCCTCTTCACCATTCACCGTTCATGATCGTCAGCCCACATCTTCTGCCCATGCATGATCATCAGCCCACATCTTCTGCCCAATCATGATCTTCAGCCCACATCTTTTGCCCATTCACGATCTTCAGCCCACATCTTCTGGCCTGCTGTGCTCATCCACCTCCCTCTCCTCTTCACCATGCACTTCGCCTTCCACAACCACTTTTTCACTTGTTTCCAGGTA